GCCTTTGGATTTGGGAATCATGAACAGGCAGGGCCTATGGTTCACACCTCCACTTCCTCATGTGACCCCAAGCACAGTGGTCTCACTCACTGATGGTGCAGGAGTGGGCGCCAAGCCCTGTCCTGTGCCGGGGTGACTTTCTCTTGTCCTCTGGAGGGTGACAGCTGTGGGCCCTCCCTACCCTCCAGTCTCCCTGGGCTGATGTCCACTCTGCTTTCTAGGACACCAGAACATGCTGGCCACCAAAAGGCCCCCAGCAACATGGGAAGACCCTTCGCCTTGTCCCCAAGGCCTGGCTTTCACAGCCTTGCACCCCTGAGGTGGCTTCATTAGATGTGATGGACAGCAACACTCACTGATGACTTTTGCTAGGAGTCTTCCTGGAGAAGTCGGCATTCAGGACACCTTCGGCCTGGTGGGCGGGACCAACGCATGGGAGGGCGGGACCGGGGATCCTGGCGACACACAGCACAGCACGTGGAGGCTCTCAGTGAGCAGGGAGGACTCCAGGAGCCACAGCACCTCTTTCCACAGCACTGACTAGGACAGCAGGCTCTGGTTGAAACCGCAAGAGCCAGAAGCTGACCGCATTGGGGGTGGGCTAGATCGAATTCTGCAGTTCTCCTGCAGAGCTCTGGGATCAGGGGCCTAGGCCACCACACCTGGCTGGTTTAAAACATTTCATTGCACTACTAGGAGTAGATCAGGATTATTTTCCATAGCAGTCAAGGGTGACGAGCCCCAGGATGCTGCCGTTAGCTTTTAACTTAAATAAAGACACACTGGGAAGACCCTGACTCTGTGCTCTCAGACTCCCTGTCCTTACAGTGTCACTGGCAACAGCAATAGTGGGGCAGAGCCACCGCGCTGGGGTCTAGAGTCAGAGCCTGGCTCCAGTTCTGGGCTCCAGGTGCACTAAGTGGCATCCAGGGGTAAAGGAGCCTGGCCTGACACCTCCAAGAAGAGTGACAGTCACCCCATGACCAGTGACAGAGTCCACCAGGCCCTGGCCTCCATGTCTCCCACCCTTGCCCAGGCCTTGTGAGCTCTGTTCAGCTCTTCCTGCCTAAAATGTGTGACTAAGCGAACCTGCCTTGTATCACAAGATTACGAGCGTCACCTTTAAGTCACCTTCGAGCTTTCCTTTACCTTTTAAAAAATTACATGACACATTCTCAGGTTAAATTCAACGTTCATAATGAGCCCTTAGCAAAAAAGAGGGGAGGGAAGAACCTCTCCTCAGGAGTTCACTGCTGCTTCTCCGTGACAGGCGCGAGCTCAGGAGCTCAGTTCAGAGTGAGTCAGCAACCTCTGGGTGACACCGCTGAGGCTGGGCTCTGAGTCACGGGGCTGCTGCTGGCTTCTGGGAGCCAGCCTGACCTGCCTTCCAGAACCTTCCTTCCAGAACACGGCACGCAGGACCCCAGCCCCCACTGATCCACTCGGGGAAGCCGAGCCCCACAGGACTTTCCTCGGACCTAGGAGCTCAGTGTCCTGGGGTAGAACCCACAGAAGATGTTTAAAGCAAGATGAAGATAAGCAATGAAAACCAACTCCTCACCTGCCTGCCATCTCAAGTCCTCAGGACGTAAATGACATTTGCTCCCTAGATGCCAGTGCACTCCTAAAAAAATTAAAACACTGCTTGAGAAACAAATATCCAGGCAAGGATAAAGCCTGGTAAAAATACATGAAAAGAAATTTGCAAGGGCTGAGCTTTTGTTTCTGTGGGGTTTTCTCCCTCAATTTTTTGTCTGTTGTTTAGCTAGTCCTTTGCTGATTTTGTGGAGGGCACGCCACCTGGTGGCAGTTATAGGTACCTGCGGCCTTATTCTTGTGGTAGTCCAGGGGCTGTGAGCTACTGGATGAAGAACGTTGTCTTCATGCAGTGCAGCTCTGGGCTCCACTCTCGAGGAGCACGCAGGGTTTTCTACAGAGTGTCCTGCGTCACGAACGCAGTCCCCTGGGTGCACTGGAATGCTCACGTGACCCTCTCCCTCAGGGTTGAGGACCTTCTCCCTCAGCGCTGTGTCACAGGGTCAGTGTCAGGAAGCATGTCAGCAGCACTGGTTCTGGGGACAGGAGTCACAGAGTGCTTCCCCCTCTGATCAATGCATAGGAAGACATGACTTGTGCGGCATCGGCTTCTGCTCGCAGGGCCCTGAGGTGTGGATCTCACCTATGGGAGCGCTCAGAGGGGAGCGGAGAAGAAGGGCCAGGGTATGCGCGGAGGAAGCCCCTGGTTTGCTTCCTCCAAGACTCAGTGTGCGGCACCGGCTTGCCCCTGTGATGCGTATCCATCAGCATCACTGACACGTGCAAAGACTGCTACCAGCACATGAACACCCTCACTCCGTACTTGTGTGCATTAGCCAGACACTTCACCCACCCTGAACCCTTTCCAACTGAGCCCCAATTTTAAGGAACAAATTCAGAAAGAGCATTGACTTCTGAGAGTCAGAAAATGCTGATCTAATACTTCTGGTGGTGACGAAGCCACACAACCCCATAGTTAGGACAGCTCACAGTTAGAAGCACTAAACAAAGACAAACCCCCAACAGATTCAAATACCAAAGCCATGCAAAACTTCCGCACCTCACTAACACCGGAAGAGTCGGGGTGCCAACATGACAAAGTGGAAGACCTACCTGGGCCACACACCGCTGTGACAGTGTGCTGTGTTGTGAGCTGCAGTGCTGGGCTCACTGTGAGACAGTGTCATGCCGTGTGGCATGGTCCCAGCACCCGTGGTCCTGCTCGCACCTCCACACACGTGGAGCAGGTATGCACTCTGGCGGGGCCATGCAGCACCCACTGGGCATTCATAGTGCGTTCTAATAAACTGCCCGCTTTGTCCCTGGCCACTGAATTATTCATGGCTGCAGGGTGGCCTGCTACAAGGACTCACAGAGCCTGGCAAGGAGGAGCTAGTGTCCTCCAGAACTGGAGCCACCCGTGAGGTGCTTGCAGCCCAGCCCAGGACCACACATGACTACCCTGGAGGCCGCATCACTGCCAGGCCGGTCAGGGATGCAACTTCCCAAGGCCAAGCACATGCACATCACACACGGACATCACACATGCACATGCACACACACATCACACATGCACATCACACATACACACACATCACACATGCACACACATGCACACCACACACATCACACACGTATGTCACACATCACACACATACACATGCACACACACATGAACACCACTTGCACATCGCACACACACATACATCACACACACATGTACATACACACATGCGCATTACACATGCACATCACACACACGCATCACACACACATTCACATCATACACGCACACTCACACACACATCACACATGTGCATCACACACAGGCATCACACACATATCACACACACATCACACATCACACACACACACATCACATGCATATCACACACGCACACACACACGTCACACATGCACATCACACACACACACTACACCGATGTGTCCTCAGAGCTGCCTGCCTGCTGTGGACTTCAAGCTCATGTTCTGGAGGAAGAACTGGGACAGGGAGACCCAGTCAGTCTTCATCCTGCATGATGCCCGTTAACACATGGCCTGTGGTCCCCCACATTATGCTTTTCCTTCAAGTGATGGGTTCAGGGAGTGCTGTTCAGACATTTCATCCCTGCAGTCAGAGGCTGATGCACAAGGATCACAAGTCTGAACCAGCTGGGCAATTTAGCGAGACCCTGTCAGAGACCAAAAATAAAATCAGGAGGGGGATGCAGCTTGGCTGAAGGCCCTGGGTTCAACCCCCACTACTGGCAGAAAAAAATTCAACTTAAGGATTTCACCAGCTTTGCTGTCAGCACAGACCTCTTCATGGCTCTGGCTTTGATTTTGTCCTTCCTAGGAGGACGGGTTGGATAAAGTGCTTCCAGTGTGCCAAGAGCTCGGCGTTTCCGGTTCCATCTTTTCTGCTTGCTCTGCACGCAGACCTGTGTCAGGGCTTTGTTTCCCCAGGTTCCTGCTGTGCTGGAGTCTCTCCCTTTAGACTAAGTTCTCATCAGGGCTTGTAAACTTCTTGCCTACTTCTTTCTTTTCAATAAGGCAAACTATTTCTATATCCCAGGAATAGAAATCCGAAATCTGGTGACAGTGACAGGATGGTAAATGAGTCTGTGACCAGTTTATTCTCTTCCTCAGCACTACACTCAGTCACCCACACCTCACAGTCCTGGTGGGATACACGCTATCGCTTCTTCAACTGGGATTGGAAGCTCAGCCTGGATGTGGTCCCTTCACACTGCAAAACCGGAAAACTCCTCTCCAGCTCCTGCGACCACCCGGCGTCCGCCCAGCTCCTCCCTGCACACCACAGGTGCGGAAGGGCAGCTTCGGCAGAACACTGTGTCTCTGTCAGGGCAGCTCCAGGGCCCTGCCTGAGAACACAGGAAAGAGCTGGGATCAGAAGCCGGTTCTCCCCAGCCACCTTTTGTATATGGAGCTGTGCAGGTGGGAAGCTCCTGCGGGCAGAGCGGCACATGCGAGCATTGGGGGGGCTCACTCTCTGCACCCCCTCAGGGCAGCAGGGTGTAATCAATACCTCCTCATTCTAACACCAACCATTTTCCTCCCGTGAAGAAATCCAGCCCCTCGGGATGAGAGTTGTTGGTGGTTTCCATTATGTAACCTCATCTGTTACCAGTGAAGACTAATGAATTCAAATTACTCCGCTATCGATTAGGAATGCAGAACCAACGTCACACCCAAGGGCTCAAAAGGAGTGGGAGCATGTACCTGCACCTGCTCTGTGTTTGTACTCTGACTAAAACAAGAATTCACATACACACTTAACAGCGCGCCTAGACATTCACATGACTGCCTTGTGATGTGGATAATTCTATCCAGCAGCAACTCTCCTTAGCCACTAGGTGTCCTCTGAGAAGTACAAAGACAATGTAAGACGGCAGAATCGCAGCCATAGTTTGGACGCAGAGCTTACCCGAAGAGTCACTCACCGGTGCGCACGTGCATTGCTAAGGCCAAGGCCACGCTTCTCTTCAGCCGATAACCCATCCAGCAGCAAGTAGAAGATTAGAAAGTTGCTCTGGCCAAGAGGCTGTGACACGAGCCTGGATTTCTCCAGCATGTACGTGTAGATCCTGGCTGGTGGGGAAAGCAACTGTTAGATGGCATCAGCAGCTTCACTCTTGCGCATGCGCACATGCTAATCAATTTTAAGTGCTAACAACACAGATTCTTTTCCAACACACATTTTAAAAACAGTAACAGAATTTTATTCTTCCACTACATAAGAAATGCTTTTTTCTGGGTATGGGATACTTATTTATGAATGACAGGACCTATGCATAGTGAAAGTCATGTCTCCTTCATCGATCAAGTATATTTACATGATTTATAAATGCAGCGATCTCACTTCCAAGGAGAGTTTTAGGTCACGCAGCCTTAACCCTGAGTGTGCTGAGGTGTCGCTCTCTCCCTCCCTCGCACTGCTGTCTTCTCTCTTGGTGGTGCATCTGTGTGGACGCAGTCAAAAGCCCAGGAGCTAGTGCTCGCTCGCTCCTATTAGCTAAGCCCTGAATCCACATCTGGCTGCAGAGTTTGCTCTGTGCCACATGGCTTTGGGGACCTCAGGACAATGTGCAGGAGACAGGCCCCACTGCATCGCCAGGCAGTTACGTGCCGGCATGGGCGTGTGTGCAAATGGCCCTGTGAAGTACAATCGGGTGGGAATTGCAGAATGATCTTTTAAAACTTTCCTGCCTTTTTCTCCTTACAGTTTTGACTGAAAACCTTTTTTGTTTAATATGAAGAATATTTACCCTAAATTACCCACTGATCAAGAAGGTATGTTTTAAATCTACACATAATGACACAGACTGCCCACCTGCAACCCACCCCCAGCTTCCCTCCATCCATCCATGGCACAGGGAAGGACAGACTCAGGCATCCCAGGACCATTCTGGACTTCAAGAGGAAAGCGCATCCCTGGAAGTGCCTGCTACAGGGCAGGGGCACCCGCTTGTGAGCTTTCTTCCTGCTTTGTACACCAAAACCCAGTGCCCAGCACCCATCTCCAATCCCAGGTGGCTGGTGATAACAGAGGTCGCTCTTGATCTGCACCAGGATCAGTAAATGCACTTGGAGACTTTTACACTGGTGTCAGCAAAGTGCACCATGCGGGGTTGGTGGACCTTCACCATGGAGATAGATATTCAGCACCTTTATATATCTGGTTTCTTTAAAATGTTGGCAGGTCTTGGAAAAAATATGAGGCGAAGACCATAATATGCTTCCATCTCATCTGGGCTCACGCCAGGGTGGCTGGTGCCTCCTACACAGATAACCAGCAGTGGCGTCTCCTTGCTGAGGACATTTCCCTCGCAGCACCAGTGGACTTGTGAGCCTTGCCCACACCGCCCGTCCCCGGGCAGCCTGGCTGCCTCCCTCTCACTTAGCAAGTCCAGCACATTCCAGGGGGAAGCGTGTAAGATTCAACAGCAAGGGGATGAGCAAGGACACGGAAGCGATGTGAAGAGCGCGGTTGGTACATGTGATGTCCTCCAAACCTGAAGACTTTGGGGTGCTGATCATCCTCAGAGCGCACAGAGGAACAGAGGCACAGAAAGTAGGAGACCTGCGCACCCCTGCACACTGGGGAGCAGGGCCAGGGTCCAGCTCAGGCCTCTGGCTGTGGCCTGCTAGCCCTTGAGGGCCCTCAGGAACCGGGGTTCACACCGACACCTGCTTTAGGCCTCACTGAGTGCACCCAGGATCCATGCTTTGGCTGCACACACTTGGGGTGCAGAGAGGCCTGATTTTAGGGATGCCCTTCCCTGACCCCTTGCCAGCAAGCTTTGCAGGAAAGTGTGAGGAAAGGAAACAATGGCACCACAAGGCCAGGCCCCCTCCAAGGCAGCTACCACGTAGGGCAGTGCAGCCGTGTTTCCTGGGACGTGATGACTTTCTGAAGGTCCTTCCACTGGCTTTTGGCAAGTCTTCTCTTCAATGATAAGTATCCTGGGAGGAGAGACAGCCTCACTGGCTGAAGAATGGCCTGCTCATTCTCTGTGCAGATTCTCCTGGGGTCAGGAGACCTGGTCGCTGGGCACCTGGCTGTGCAGGAAGGTCTGGGGCCAAGACCTGCATGTTCACAGAAGCCCTCCCTGCCACAGGGCCTTGTGGTGGCAGTGGTAGCCTCCAAGACTGTGCTCAACTTGTCAGCTGGTCCTTGTTCCTTGTGGGCCTGGCTGTGCCGAGCCCCTGGAGTTCCTGCTAGGCTGAGAAATGGCCCCAAAGCAGTTTATTTCCAATCAAATGAAACACAGCAGAAAGGAACAAAGGTGAATGCAGACTGCGGGGGACAATTCCTACTTCTAGAAGCCCAGGAGCTAGGCCCCAACTGACAGATGACAGAGAGCCCCCCGGAGCACTATGGGAGTGGAGACTCCTCACAGGCATTTGAAGATCATAAGCAACAGAGCCATTCGCGGATGGTAGCAAGGAATTTTCTGCTCAGTCTGGAAGACAGCTGTGCTGCAGACCACGGCTCTGTGCCCGCTGCACAGCTCTGTGTGTGGGCTGGGAGGGGAGGCTGCCTCTAAGGTTCCCTTCAGAGAGAGGAGGGGCCTGGTCAGACCAGGCGGCCCTGCGAGGGTGTGCCTGTCTGTCTCTGCCTCCACCTGAACTTCCCAGGTGAGTCTGCACATGGTGCCATGCAAACCTCAGCACTCTCGGATGAAGAGTGAAAACAAAGCCTCTTGGAGGGAGACTGCAGTCCTGGGAAGTCAGCTCAGGTCCCAGATGAAGGAGCTGGGAGCCACATGAGGCATTTAGGCAGAGCTTTCCTCATCCTTGTGGGCTGGCTGCCTATAAACTTAACCTGTGGTGTAGGAGTAGGGTGTTTCTCAAGTCATTCAAGTGGAAGCCTGCTGGTACACACACGGGGGAGACCGGAATCACCTTCTAGTAAATAAATGTCCAGGTGGGAAAATACGCTGGGCCCAAAGCCAGCCCAGAATTGCTGATTGCATTTTCTCTAAAATGGAAACATTAACTTTTCTATAGCTAGCATTCCATAAAACTATGCCTGACATTTTCTGTTATAAACTGATTTTGTCCATGAGAAAAGACACATTAAATCATCAAAGTATCTTGGCATTGGCACCTGGACTCATGAACTTGATTCTTTCTATGATTCTGATCGCAGAATTTATCCCACAATTCTGGTTGCAATTAAGTTTGTGAACTGAGGTACCCCATCACAGCAAGAACAAAAAAGCATACAGGCTCTATCAATCTTAATTCAGCATAATATTGCCCATCCAAAGTGTGGTAACAACTATTTTAAGCATGTTGATAATTTAAGGAAATAATAGATTTTTTTTTGTTTTTAAAAGCAACCAACCTGTCTCCCACATGTGCTCGGCCTGGTTTACCATCACAGCCCTACAACACATTGGTTAACTATTTTAGTGAACATTAAAATCAGAAGGCTTTTTATATGGGATACATCTGCATAACTTATCTCTCTTCAAAAATGATATAATTTCATGCATTTTTTATTTCAAGGAGTCTTGATAACAGATTAATCAAAAGTATATTTACCTATAGCTTCTTAAAATGTTCAATGCCTGTTTTTCTGAGTCGGAAAGATATTTATTCTTAAATGGGATATAATTTTTCAGAAGGAGACTTCTCTCTCACCTTCTGTCATAGGCTGAACTACTTGGTGGTCCTCATCCCAAGCATGGGAAGGGACCTGAGGTGGAAGCAGGGTCAGGGCCGAGGCACTGGATCTAAGATGAGGCAGACACGTGGTGGGTGCTGAGCCCAGGCATGGGGTCCTGGGAGAAGAGGGGACAGGGCCGAGACTGCATCCACATAGGCAGAGATGGACTGAGGTGTCTTCAAGTCAGGGACTGGAGGACAAGCAGTGAGCAACATTAGTCCGGGTGGCAGGGAAGAGTCCTCCTTGGTGACATCAGGGCTGAGCCGGGGCTCTGTGGACCGTGCAGTCTGAACTGCAGCCCCCAGCCCACGGAAGCCTTGTTCCTGCTCCCTGTGGTCAGTGCCGCTTTGCAGCTGCAGCTCTGAGAGCTGCCCACCTCCTGTGCCCTCTCCTGCCCACCTCTGCTGCTTCTGTGCCCGGCCCGGGGACAAGTCCATGCGGCCAAGTCCCATTGCTGGATCCGAGGGCACGGGGCCACCTGGGCTTCATCTGTGCACTCAGGGCCAGGGGACCCTTGGGGCATCGTGGGGAGCCCCCAGTCCTGGTCGTCCAGAGCAGCACTGGGACGACTGCTCTGGACATGGCTCCTTCCTTTGAATGCCACGGCAGCCCGGTGCCTGGAGGTTCTGGTGATGCAGGAACGGCTCCCCCTCCTGCGTGCCCACGGTGCACCCAACTCTCAGCCCGGACGTGGCCACGAGGGGGCTCAGCAGAGCTCCCCAGGCTCTCCTCCTCTTCACAAATGCACACCTGGCCACTCTGCTCCTCTGCAAGGCGTCTCTGGGTGTATCATTTTTATTTTACCTCTTAAATACTGGAAACAAGGAACTGAGTTCCAGAGCAGCATTTCAGGTTGCCGGCTGGTCTTAGGGCTGAGCGGGTCCCTGACTGTACTCCGTGGATACGCCTCAGGCGACACCCTATTTTCCCCTCCAAGCAGCAATATTGCTCTGAACTTGAAAAATGCCTGCGATAATCTCCAGAGCACGTGGTGGGGTCTTTAAAGGAACACGAGAAGAAGCTATTTTGCCTACAGACAGAGGCGAGCGGGAGTGCAGGGCGGGCGTGAAGGAGAGGAGACGGAACAGGACGCAGTGCCGAGCAAGCTCCTGGGTCTGGCTTCATTTCCGAGGAGAAGCAGCAGGGTTCCCCGAGACGTGCATGCATCTTGAGCTGTGCTCGCAGCTCCTGCGGGATTCCACGGGCTTCACAGGGCCTGGAGCAGGCCAGGCTCTGGCCCTGGGTGCGCTGCCCAGCACACCACCAGGGGGCGTCTGTGGGTTTGCCTATGTGCAGACCTGTGGACCACGCGCCTATAATACACTGGGATTGCAGCATGTCCAGTTAGTCTGCCGGCCTGCTGCGCCTGTCGGGTTCTTTTTAACATGTGTATAGAATTATTGCCACAATGAACATTCCTGAAGCAAAGGACACAATCTGCCCAGATAAAGAACTACAGGAGTGGCTGGTAACTGTCCATGGTCCCTACCGCACGGCCCCGTGGTGCAGAGCAGGCTGAGGAAAACCTCAGTCACCACGGAGCCGCCCAGCCACGCCCTCAGCCTAGCGAGGCTCAGACGTGGGCTTGGCAGGGTTGGCCTTGGAGCCGCTGTCCTCGCTGCAGCCCCTGAGCCCAGCGTAAGGGGCAGCACAGGGCCCTGCAGGCGCTGGTTGTCTGGGGCTGCCTGCCCCCAACCTCTGTGGCCCTGCCCGCTGGCACTATACTCCCATGCTGTGCTCCTTTCCTGGGCATCCAGGCTGCGGCTCAAGATGTCCCCTGTGGAGGTCTTCCTGGGTGGGGCCTTCAGGACTCAGCCTCAGGCTAAAGGTAAGGATTTTCCCACTGTGGATTTGAACTTTGCATGCATAGCTGATGTTTCTGACTCTTTTGCATATTGCGTGTCATTTCATCTATTAGAAATTGGATTTGTACCTTGTTATGAAACAAAACTTTATTTCTAGATTTTATGATTTGTATAAAAAATGTACTGCAAGAGGCTCACGTGCTCACAGGTGAGGATTCCGGGGATGGCTAGATCACGTGATTAGAGCTGGGTGACGTCACTGAGTATGTGTCAGAGCTAGCGCCTGGTTGGCTGAGGTTGGTGCTGGGAAAGTGCTCATCCCATCTCTCCAGCTCTCCCCTGTTCTCTGGTCCTGGCTGCCACGTGGCCAGCAGCCATCCTCTGCCACACCTTCTACCATAAGGCTTCTACATGGAGTTGGCCACCCACCACGACCTGCACCCTGCAAAGCTTGAGCCAAAATAATTCTCCCCCTTTCATAGATTTTCTGAAATATTCGGTCAGTTATGAAAAGCTGACTAACACTAAATCACACTCAGAACTCACTTCCCCCACAAGGAAGGAAGAATAACTAAATAGAACTGAGTATGTTCAACCATCATCTGCAGGGGCCGGGGAGATGGCTCAGTGGAATAAGCACTTCCCTGGCAAGCGCAAGGGCCTGAGTTCAATCCCCGGTTCTGCCCTCCCCCCAAAAAATCATCTGCAGTGAGCAGATTGTTCATGAAGGCTCTTATAAAGGTCTTTAAAGTAGCTGATCCCTCTGAGTCGCTTGGGGGGTCTGTCGACACTTGGATTTGCAATTAATTTGCATGATTGGAAAGACAGAAAATCCTGGGTGGGTTCTAAAGTAGCTGAATTTAAATGAAGAATTTTCATAAAATAAACATTAAGTGTTTAAATCAAACAAGAGGTAGGTTCTGTTTGGTTCTGTTTGATTTTTGTTGGTGATAATTTTAATGTTTTGATTTGTTCTAATTCAGTCATTTTAAAAATACAGATTTAGTTTTATTTAATATAGATTTCACTGTGTGCAGAGTGAAGTAACTGAGCGAGGTTCTGACCTGAGTGCTGGAGCTTGCTTCTGCATGCAGTGAGCACGATTCCCTGCCCCTAGCTCTGGCCTAGTGTGGGCTTCACCTCATGGAGTTTATACAGGGATGCTCCAAAGGAGAGTCACTGTGCACTTGAGAATGTGCGTCCATCCACATCATGCTCGGAGCTCGCATCCTCAATCCCAGGTATATACTCACATGCCCCTCCATGTGACACACAAACAGCCCTCTGGGGGGCACACATGCACTCTTCCACATGACAGTCACAGGCTCCCCCATGTGACACTCACATGCCCCTCCTGTCTGGTCTTAGTCCTGCTTATAGGTGATGAATCTTTCCAAGGTGTCCTAGGAATCTCCTACCTGCAGCCCCAGGGAAGAGCAGGCTTTCTCCCCACCACCCATGGCTCACTGCTGGCCTCACACACCATGTACCAGAATGTACTGGAAGTCAAAGCCGGTCCCTGGCCCCACAAGCACAGCCTCCAGCGACACAGGAGGCCTTTTGCTCCGACTGCGCGCTTACCTCCGGTCACTTGCCTCTTCCTCTCACTAAACTGCACTTCCAAGTACTTTATGAAGCAACTGGACCGATCATTGAGTGGTGTCCTGGCATGTCCAAAGGCTTCTAAGATGCACATGACCTGTAGCAGAAGAGATTTTTTTTTTTTTTTTTTGCAACACTTGGGATTGAACTCAGGACCTTGTGCTTGCCAGGCAGATACTTATACCCCTGAGCTATAACCCTGTCCTTAAGAAGAGAAAATTTCTATTAATCATTCATTTCAAAAAAATAAAATCAGTCAGCAACAAAAGATGTAGGGTATTCACCATCATTTGCAAGTCTGCCTCCCCCCTTCCTCCTCCTGTCCTCACTTCCCTCTCTTCTCCCCTTCCTGTTCTCCTTCTTCTCTCCCTCCTCCTCCATCCCTTCTCCCTCCTTCCCTCCATCTCTCCTTCACCCCTCCATTCTTCTTTCCTCTCTTCTCTCCTCCTTCCCCCCACCCTCTCTGTCCCCTCCCTCTCCCTCTTCTTCCCTCCTGTAGCACTGGGAATTGAATCCATAGCTGTCACACTAAACTATATCTCTAGCCCCTGCTTCTTGCAAACTTTATTTTGAGACAAGCTCTCAAAAGTCACCAAGTAACCCAGGCTGGCTCTAACCTTCAGTCCTACCTCAGCCTACCAGAGTGCTGGACTACATTACAGGTGAGCACCACCATGACCAACTTATTTTTTCATTACCATGTTGAATTTTTAACATTACTCTGTCCAAATGCAAATTCTTAGCACTGTGTACACTATCTGCAAGGGTAGCCACTGCTAATAGCATGCCACGCAGACCACTACACTACCTCCTTCCTCCACCTAAGTGGAGGAAATCACACACATATACACACATGCACACATGCATACACACACACACATACATGCACACACAATAAATGCTATTTGAAATTTCAATCTTGACTATCACTGTAGAACATCATTTGATATTTTGGAGGGGCAAAGCCTAAAACTGCTGTGACCCTCAGTCCGAAATTCCTTCTAAGCAATGAGTTCTGGTGACCACTGGTTCCTCCAAGGCAGTGAATCCTTATTTACCTGGTATTCAGCCCATGACATCCTGGAGCCCTTGCTCCTCGTCTTTCTGTCTCCAGCAGCCCCTACCTCCCCCAGAGGCACAAGAAGCAGCCTGGCCTGGCTGATTTACTGATCTGCTGGTGCATAGGTGGCAAAGCTTATGGCTTTGAAACACTCAGAATAAAATTCCGCAGATCTGCCTTCATTATAAAATTCATTTTGGACATTGGTCATGAAATAGAAGCCATTTGTTCTATGCCAATTTATTGACAATCATGGTAGCCAAGCAACTTGCCAAAAAGTTTGAAAATCTGGAAGGATCAAAGGTGATTTCTCATATGTAGAGAGACAACCCAGATAAAAAGAATAAAACTGTCTATCACAAGTGTTGGCATTTCGGCATGTTACTTAGGCCACTATGTATTTTAATGTCAAGATAGAAAGAGAGATAATGCCTACTTATGTGTATTTTTAGGATTAGATTGGTTATTGAATTCTATTTAAATCTGCTTCTGTAAATTATGCTGAAAGTTTGCCTTGAGAACTCTATTTATTTATTAGAGTTATATTTAAAGCTTTTTGTAGGGAAAGTTAAGGTGAATACAGGGAATTTTGGTACCTCAGCGGTTTGTGTTGTTAATTCATTAGTGTGTTTTAAGTTCACAGGACAAACTAGGAGAATTCATTTCCCAGTGTTGACTCCAGGGCCAGATTTCCCCAGATGTGCTGTGGCAGCCGGGAGGCTGTGCATGAGGCAGTGTCCCGTGTGAACCAGAAACCAGGGCTTGCCACCCATTTCAAAGTATTTACTAATGTTTCCTAATATAAGGAACCTCTAGTGGGTAGAATAAACATATTATTAATTTAATGCTTTTATCATTGGCTCTTTGGCATGCTTTAACCCAGCTCATATAAATTTGGGTTTTCTCTTTCCAAAGGTTCTGTTTATAACAGTATTTTTATGACAATGTCGTAAAGTTTGCTATGTTATTAAAAAACAAGTTTGGACAGTAAAAAACAAAAAACAAAAAAAGAAAAGGTGGCCTCTCTTTGTAGGCTTTAAGAGGTTAGCTGCAGTTCCTAGTTCAGCCACAAGAGGAAGCACAACCTCACCTTTTAGGACACAGGGTTGCAGGAGTCCTGTAAGTTTTGAGAAACTCATTAAATGTTTAAGGCCTGCTTTCACTCTACTTCTTAATTTCCTGACATCTGTTATACTAAGCAAATGGTTTTTCCTGGAAGTATTCCATATTATAAAAGACTATGCAACAACATGGATACTAATCTATCAGAATTGCTAAAAGCTGGGAGGAGGATGAAGAATGAGTTTTTTGGAGAGAAACATGTATGAAATCCTTACAAAGCCCTATAATTGGGGAGTGCATGGAATAATGGGTTTTTTTTGGTGGAACCGGGGGTTGAACTCAGGCCTTCGTGCTTGCCAGGGAAGCACTTATTCCACTGAGCTATCTCCCCGGCCCCCTGCATGGAATAATTTTAAAGGTAATCAAGGATAAATTGATGGCAGGGGTGATGGCAATGTTTTCTTCAGAAAACACGAATTAGCGCGTGTTGGACTTACCTTGTGATTCCTTTACAAAAATCTAATGTTAAATGTACAGCTGCAGAGTTGATTTCATACTCTACTCATACCAGTCCACGAAGCGTGTAACACAAACAGCTGTCTCAAAGTTGCACAGCTTGCATGAGCTTTACACACATTCAGCTTCGGCTCACTTTGGCAATGCACCCAGTAGTAAGGTGCCGTAAACTGCATGCCTCCCCTCCTCCACCCCACACGAGGCCACTGCCATGGCGGCTGTAACATGTGCACAGGGTGCTCAGTGCAGAGCAAGCACCTGGCAGACAACAACGGTCCATCTCATGTCTGTTAGCCGTTTCTTTAAAATCTTTTATTTATTTACCTAATTGGTACAGGGTCTCACTAAGCAACTCAGACTTGTAGTGATCCTCCTGTTTTCAGCCTCCCCAGCACTGGGATTACAGGTGTACAGCTCACACCCAGTCTCTGTGGCTGGCTTGGCACAGGGCCTGTCTGGCATGCGGTACCAGGGATTGAACCTGGGTCCTTGCCCTTGCCAAGGCACGTAGACTGCTGAGCTATCTCCCCAGCCCTCACATCTGTTAATCATGACAGACGCTGTTGCTTGTGTGCTTGCTATGTGCCCAGCAACATTCTGATGACTGCATGGGGGAGCACACCGGCATACATGTGCTGTGTATGTGTGCGTGCGCACACATGATTTCTTTCAGTACTAACCAGTGCCTCTGTTTTGCAGACAGGCAAGTAGATTAATGACCTCCTGAGACTCAGTGCCTCTGCATGAAATTCTGGGCTGCGTGTGACCCAAGGCAGTCTCTGCAGAAGCACACAGTGGACCACAGCTCTCAGATGCTCTTGCTGGAGTAAGGACAAGAGTGCTCGAGGTGTGGAGTTGACCCAGAGTGGAAAGCCTGCGCAGTGTGCCAGCTCCTGCGTGGCATTCTTCTGTCGTACACTGCTGTTCCACAGTCAGGGATCAAACCCGTAAACTCCATAATTTCATCAGCGGCTCTCATCTTCACTACCAGCCGGTGCATGGCAAGGCCAGTTACTGTGCCAGTTGGTGGCACTAAATAAGTGCATTAAGAGAAATGCTAAGAAAGCACAAAACTGGAATTATTCAACCACTGGCCTTGACTTTGAAACAAAATAATGAGAATGTCAGAGTGGTAAAATTTTAAATAAAAATATAAGTGAAGGCAGGTAGATAGGTGTATTTCCAATAGTAAGTGATGCCCATTTTATAGGTGTGCTCTTTCCCCACTCATGCTGCGTGGTGCACGATGTCTCAGGAGTATGCCACGGGAGTTATGTGCCAATGAGATTAGAGTAGGTCTGTTCCGTTTCCTTCCCTTTTTTGTTTGAGACAGGGACTTCCTACGTGGCCCAGCCTGGCCTGGAACATGCTGCAGCCCTCATGCCTCAGCCTCCCTAGTTCTGGGATCAGAACTACACCACCAATGTGGACATTTTGCTTTCTAAAAGTGAAAATCCATGGCCTCCTTTGCAAAAATGAATTCCTCATCCACCACGCTGAACTAACCATGCTGCCCTGTGAAAGCTATTATTGCTTAGTAAATGTGGATTTCAGTGACATGAATGAAACTTAATGCTTCTTTTGCATCTGGCCAGAACTGGCAAGATGTCTGGTGGGTTTCTTCCCCAAACAGGACTTCTCCGTTTGAGCAGCTCTAAGGACGAGGATGATTCCTCACTTCCAGCGCTAGAGACTCAGGCTCCGGGGCCAGGAGAGAATCGGCCCCGGGAAGGGGCCACACCTGCCCTGAGGCTGCACAGGATGACGGTGTGGTGCCTTGTGTGATCCATCTTCCCTTGACCCAGGCGTGGACGAACCCAGCCTCGGGAGGCCGTGAGCCCAACCGCCGCCGGGACACAGGGTTCATATCCACAGCAGCTGCCCGGTCTTTCTGGGATGATCTGATGACCACCCCTTTCAGATCAGCCTGAGTGGAACCTCGGGCTTCCAGCCACAGCTCTGCAGCCAGGGTGCCATTTTCCTGGCCTGCAATCAGCTTTGCTTCATGCAGGAGCACAGCTGGTCTCCTCAGGATGCTCCATTTCTGTGAACTCTGCCCACTGCTGTGATGCACGCTCCTAGGCCCTGCCACGCTCATGTTTAATTCCACATAAGACTCGGATGCTTTGCACAACTGGGACCGAGTAATGTTCATGAACCTGTCAGGCACTGCATGAGATTCACGTGGATAACAACATAAAGGGAAACCAAACAGCTGCCATGGAGGGGCAGCCATGCTTACACCTGAGGACCTCTTCGACATGAGACTGGAAAGCCTTCATTTATGTCTTTTACCTCTTGTGGAACAGGAGTAAAACAGTGATTACTTTTACCTGAACTTGGTATTACGACCAGAGTTTTGTCGCCCATCTTGCTAACTGATTGGGAGGAGTTACTTTTTCTTGCCCCAAGGAAACCAACACTGGCTATGTTCACTTAAAAATGCAGTTTTAAATGGAAAACTAGTTCATGTCAAACCATGCAGAATGCATCCTCAGAATGTCCAGCTTGCTGTCTAAAAGATCACTGTGATAAATGACTGTTGGTTTGTAACTCAGAGAGGAACTACTATTCCTTGTTATCTCACTTAGGTCCACAGGTTCTGTCAGTTCCACTAGAGAGCCTGCCTTTACAAACACATTGTTTCATTCATGCTCCAATCCTTACATCTCAGTAGTCAGTCTGTTGGCAGAGTTGAAGGAAGACGGTAGATAGGTGATCCTACATTTACCACATTAACTCACAATGTTAAATTATTTTGAGCTGTGTTGTGAAGCGCTACAGTGCTCCTGACAGAAGCCTACCAATGCCTCAGAAATTGAAGTCATTCATGTGCACGTATGCCCCCATGCAGACATGCCTCAGAATTGCTTTCATACACATTCTTTATTCTGAGAAAGTGCTCCAGACTCAGGCAGAAGCATAGGAATCCATTAGGGCAGATTCAAATGGTTAAAGATTTGTAAGTAGAATCAAAAGTGTGAGGCAAAAAGGAGATGATGTGAATGTAGGCAGGAAAGAATCATGGGAGGGGGCTGGGGAGCTGGCTCAGTAGAATAAGCAGTTGCCTGGCAAGTGCAAGGTCCTGAGTTCAATCCCTGGTACTGCAAAAAAAGAAGAGAATCAAGGGAGGAAAAGAGGTAGCAAGGGTGGGAACGACCGTGCGTGTGCGCTGCATGCGTGGACCAGGAATGCCACACTGAAGCCTGGTACCAGGTACAGCAGATGAGAACAGAAGTACAACAGGGCAACAGTAAGCCTCTGATGCACCAGGTGTCTTTCTGCAACCACCGTGAGAGTGGCCACTGCTCCACCTTGCCTGGAGACGGGCACATCTCTGTACTGCACGCACTGTGGTTTCGTTGCTGTTTCCGTTTCATGCGTTCACTTGCAGTCAAGGACAGCTTGGCTGGTTTCTAGCAGGGACTGAACAGACTCTCAACTCTCATGTCTGGCGGTCTCTGACCTGGGAGATGGTAACTTAGCAAACTTGTCTGCTACGCCTGAGGCAGATGAAGGCAGAAGTTATGAGAACTGAAGAAGGGGAGAAAATTCCCACTCTCCAGAGAAGTAGGTCGAGGACGGTCAGTGCAAGAAAGTGCATGATTGTGCGTCACCCAGATGCAGTACACAACAGAAGTGGCAATCCATATTAAATGCAGTGGGTTACATCAGGGTAAGGTAACAGAGAAGATTTAGAACAACTAGAAGTAATGAGGTGTGCCAAACTAAAAACCTTGTGCCTGCCTGGCAAGCACAAGGACCTGGGTTCGATCCCCCACACCACATGCCATGTTGGCCCTGCGCTGTGCTGGCCACCAAAAGCAGGTATGGTGGCTCACAACTGTAATCTCAGTGCTGGGGAGGCTGAGATAGGAGGATCACTGTGAGTCTGAGCTGTAGCGAGAACCTGTATGAAATAAATACGTAAATAAATATTTTCTTTAAAAAAAACAGTAAAAATCTTCCACTCTTACATTCATTGCCACATTCATGGAGCAGGCTAAGGCAAACTTGTTGCACTCAGGGGACAGCCTGGCATGTATGGTCCCTCCAGGCAGGGTGGGTAGGTGGCAAGAATGGAGAAAGTATGACCCCAGGCCTCACTGGCTCTGGCACTAGGGAGGAGGGCAGGAGATCACACTAGAGATCGTTGCCCGTGCTGCAGGACATAACTGTCCTCATGGGTGGCAGGATCATGTGGGTGCTGTGCAGGCCTGGAGCTGCAGGTGCAGGTCCCAGCAGCCCATACAGCCTTTTCTGTCACCCCTGTGAGTCGCTGAAGCTGTGCGCAGGCCAACTCCTGCAGCCCTGCATGTGCCCACATTTGAGCCATGACCCTGGCAGATGCCAGACTGCATGTTGTCCATGCCCAGGACCAGGGCTCTTTTTCCCTTCCTCTGGAGCCCTGACTGAGCCAGGAGTGAGCTGTCCTGTCCACCAAGGTCAGGAGAGTGGGATATTGTGACTGAGTGGGAGAAAGGGGATCCAGGTCCCTGGTGTGGAGCTGCTGACACTAGTTCTGCCAGGGATGGGCCATGACTATGGTGCAGCGCACTGCACAGCGTCAGCTGTCTGCTGGACAGGTGGCTGGCACATCACAAGGTGGGAGTCACTGTCCCAGGGGGCTGCACCTCAGGCCCTGAGCACAGGCCGCTGCATGGTCAGCTAACACCCCGTGCATCTGGCGGGGTGTCACCAGGAGCACCCACTCCTGCAGCTCTCAAGGGAAATGCTAGCATGCAGGGGGCTCAGGCTGCAGGCTGCGGCCACCACAGCAGGGTCCAGCTGGGCTCCAGCCACACTTGTGGTGGCAGTGGGTAGTGGTTCTGCCTGGCCCTGGTTCCTCCTCATGTCACTTGCTCCCCGTCTCTTCATCCAGGTTGGCTTGAAAAGTCCTGTGAACAAACCCTACTAGATTCACTTGAAAACAGAAGCCACCGGGGGTCGGCAGCTGTGCAGTGTGCAGAGTCCCACCACAACAGTGGGCTGCCTGCTGTGCCACTGCTCTCCTGGGAGTGCTGCAGGCAGATGAAGCAGCAGGACCCAGGCCGCAAGACGCCACTGAGGGGAGCACAGCCAGCACCAGCTTCGCTCACAATCAGTCCGGGCTTGAGGGTTACCACTTGTCTGTCACTATCATGCCCTCTGATGCTGCCCACTCTGCCAGACATTCTGCAGCTACAGGTCACTTCGAGGGGGTTCCCCACCACTGCTGGCTTCCAGGCCTGTCTCCCCCAAAGGCTCAAAGTGACACTTTCTAGAGCAACATTGGCCGCCTACCATAATGGGTGTTCCTGGTTCAGACCGCCCGAGCAGATGTAAAGAGTGAGTTTGTGCAAAATATTTTTAAATGCATTTAAAAGTTCACATGAACAATATCAAATTGCTGTGGGGCCCAATCTTGTGCCCCCTCCCCCTTTCTGACTACCTTTTACCCATGTGACATCCTCTTCTATTTGTAAGTGACATTTTCCTGGTTTAGTACATTCAGTTGCACATCTGCCAACCCAGACCAGTGACTCACGTGTCTAAACCTGGACTCCAGGACAGCAGAGCAGGCGACGGAGCGGCAAGTCAGGTGTCTCACGATCTGCTTGCTGGCCTCTGACTTCCCAGACCCTCTCTCTCCACTAAGAGGAAAGGGGACAAGTAAGTTCATTATTTTGGAGAAGGCAGTAAAGAAAATTAAATAAGTAGACAGTCCTTAGGCATAGTTGATAAGGAGGAGCATAGTGACATTTAACGAGTCTGTGGTACAATCGCATTCTATCAGGTGATGCGTTTGTCTGTAACATTTAGGAAGCATGAGCCATGTCCTGTGTTACAGGGTGTGTTAGCCATTGGGACAGCGCAGCTTCTGGCACCCAGGACCCTAGAGCTCAGGTGACATCAGCAGTGAGGCCTCCACTGGCACAGATTGGCTCCCTCGACCTGACCTCAGCACGCTCAGGACTGCCAGCAGGGACCCCAAGGACCAGGCTGTGAGTGGAAGTGGGTGTGGCCGTCCTACAGTCACCTGGTGAAGGCTTGGAGAAGGCGTGACTTCTTCCAGAACCTAGGGACATCCCATCTTTCTGAGCACCCCTTCTTCTGGAATGGGAAACTGAAGTGCATCTGCCCAGGTGACGCTGGCCACGTCTTCGCCAGGCAGACCCCACGTGCACCTTTTCAAGCCTGGGGCACTGGCTGGCACTTTTCTCTAATCTAGGAACCCATCATGACCTCATCCCCTTGGGATCTCAGATGCCAACCCCGAAGCTTCTGGGAATGCCTGCTCAGGCTATCCAACTTCTACAAGCGGGAGCTGCACCATTCCTGATATGAGGCAATGTCAGATGATCAGAAAACTCCTCTGCCTCAATTACCAGTGATCTGATGCACAGCGAAGTTATTTGTGCTTCCAGATGGGAAGCTCATTTGTAGCCTTGAGCTGGTAGGAAAAAAAAAAAACCCTCATTCTTGCAGTTCTTTTACCAGTACTTTCTGAGGCTCTTGTCTTAGATCATTGATTGTAATAAAGTTGACTGAAAGGTGTTTATTTTCCTGCAATGAAATAATTACTTAAGTCTCAACTTGCTAATGAACACATTTTCTCCCTTTATCAGTGCTGACCCTGACATCTGAACTGTGGGCATCTATAATTATTTACAAAATGAGATATTACATGGTGATAGACCCAGGTCAAGTTTGAGTTTTCGGCATGTAGAGAGCCAGTTTTATATGAGAACTTGTACTGTAACGTCATGTACCTCGGTAGTGTCCCAAATTTTCTGATCAAGAAGATAATGGGGCCAAAGAGGAAAGTGATCGATGACGTAGAGTGTGCCTAAGGAGAGTCACATGGGGAGAAGACACTCTCTCAGGCTTTCAGAGAGCAAATTGGCCAAGCATTGGCCGTGACTCATCCACATGGCTGCACTGATAAAGGTTCTACAATCTGAGGTACAGGATCTCAGGATAAATCCTGAGGGCATTTCACTGACCTTGTCAGACCAAAAACCTACAACTCTTGTTGCACAGGTCCTGCTTTACCTTGGTCTTAACCATCCAGTAGAAAAGTATGAAGATGAAATATAGGAAATAAAGCCATGTTGTTATGTTGAGCTGTGGGGGACTCAGGTCAATAATTTCTGACATTGCCAGTTAAACAGAAGACCCAATGCTATTGTGGGCTACTGGACTCTTTTAGAATATTTTGCTGAGTTTACACACCTATAATATTCAACAACGGAACTTAAAAAAAATTGGGGTATAACTATGAATGTCCACTTTGTATCTGTGTATTCAAAGTGGTCGGGATAGATATATAGTTGCATTCTCTTAATGAATAGAATGATTTTTTCTAATGGTGTTTGTAAGTAGGATCACAAGTCTGCAACTTGTACAGCAATTAACCACTAAGAAGAATATATGCAGTGTATTATTTGTTGAAACTACTTTCGATTTGATTTGAAACTGTCTCATTGCTATATGTTTATCAATAAAACTTTGAAAAGAAAAAAAATAAAATATAAAAAAAATGAGATATTACAAGCAAAATCTGGAAAGAAAATTGGAATTTTTCTAGTGATGGGACATCCACGTAAGGATATCTGAGTTTTGTTTATCAAATCTTACAAGGCAACTTCTGGGAGTTCCTGGCAGAGCTGCCACCAGTGGCATGCACACAGCTGACTCAGTGAATCCCATGGCACAGACGCATGGGCAGAAATGAAGAGCGCCTTGCTGGAGCCAGCACACCCCAGGAAGGGACAAGCCCTGCACACGTGCACTGGGACAGGAGGCAGAGACCCGGCCCCCACCCACACTGGGCCTTCAGCTTCCACACAGGGCTTAAAGACTGGGGGGGGGGGCTGTGTCCAAACTTGGCTAGAAAAACTGTGTTTCCTTTCAAAGAAGAGGTTGGTGCCTGACATTATCAGTCTCATGCTGTGTCCCCAAGGAACTCCTATTCCACAGAACATGAGTGACACTCCAGGAGAGAATACAGGCAGTGGCAGAATGGTGCCTGGACACTGGCAGGTCCCCAGAGTGGTGTGATCCCAGGGTGTCCCCAGGGACACTGCTCTTCGAAGCTCTCCAGCCACCTCTGGGCGGCCCACTTTTCCGTAAGGCTCTGGGGCACCACCACCACCCCCGTCAGCACTGTCATCTTCTGGACACTCACACTACTAACCTCATGGGGTTTCCCGGGAATGGAGGCACTGCCATCCAGTCTGGCACACAGTATGTCCTCAGGGAGCGTCGGCTGTCATTGTCAGTGCAAGTTTGTATTCTCCACTATCTCCCTGGCTAAGTAAACTTTTATTTTTTATTTTTTTCTTTCTAATTTTATTTTTAAAATATTTTTATTGAGAACCAAATAGCAATGAGACAGTTTCACAACCAATTACTAGCACAGTTTCAATAATTAATACATTGCATATTGTTGTCTTAGTGGTTATCCATTGTACAAGATACAGACCTGATATCCTGTCTCAAACACTATTAGAACAAATCTCTCTATTCATTGAATTAAGAGAATGGAGCTGTATATCTATCCTAATTATTTTGAGTACACAGATACAAAATGGTCATTCATTTGTATCCCCCTTTCTTGGTTTTGTCAGAAAAGGGCATTCCATTGTCATTTAAATACTGTAGGTACATGAATTCAGAAAAATATCCCAATATAGTCCACTAGTCCATAATAGTAGTGGGTTTTCCGTAAGACTGTCAATGTCCGAAGTTGTTGACTTGAGCCTTTTACAGCTCAGCATATTAATATGGTTTTACTTTATATACTTCATTTTTGTACTTTTCTGCTGGATGGTTAAGACCAAGAAAGAGCAAGACCAATATAAAAAGGAATGTAATTTTTGTGTCTGATAGGGTCAGTCAAATCCCCTCAGGATTTACTCTGAAATCCTGTACAGCAGTTTGTAGATCCTTTGTCAGTGTCAGCCATGTGGATGAGTCACGATGATTGCTTGACCAATTTGCTCTCTGTGAAAGCCTGAGAGAATGTTTTCTCTCCATGTAACTCTCCCTAGGTGCATTCTACATCATCAATCACTTTCCTCTTGGCCCCATAATCTCCTTGATCAGAAAATTTGGGACACAACTGAGTTACAGGATGGTACAGTACAGGCTCTCCTATTTCCTGAGTCCTTACTGACCTTGAAAGGCTAGGGCCGAAATGTTGGCTGTCCTTGTAGCCCTTCTTTTTCTTTAATTTTTGGTCTGCAAACTTAAGTTGTTAATCCTCCAGAGGAGAAGTTTAATGATATTATTACCCTATAACATAGACAGTTATGCTTAACCTCACTGTCTGATTATCAAACATCTTAGACATAATGTGGAACAGGTATTTTCCATCAAGTATTGATATATCAAACTTTGAGTCTCTCCAGAATATGAAGAAAAATGAATAAAAACATAAAAATATTTTAAAAATAAGAATAAGCATTTACATGTTTTTACACAGAAATTTAGAAATCTAATAATATACAGCCTTGACAGTACTGTGATTTTTTTTGTCTCATGTTTTCATTTACTACTTTTTTTAAAACATTTACTTGAGAGACAGTATGGCTGTAATTGGTATGTCATGTTAAACAGTATGTAATTAGAAGACCAGAATGATAGGCATTCCAAGCATGGCCCTACCATTACACATTGCTTTCTTCAGTGCAGTTGCTTAGTTCACAGGTATCAGCATATATAGTCAGAGTGAGAAGCCTACCAATTAACTGATAGTTTCAAAAACACACTGAAGATTATCAGGACCATTGCCTTACCCATTTTGTGCATATAAATGTATGACTTTGCCCCTGTCATGTTTTGTAGCTTTTCTCCTTGCCCTCTCTTCATTAACGAATCCTCAAGTTCTCAATTTCCTTTTAATTGTGTTATGCCTTTCTACTTTTCTTTCTTCTTTTGAGTTCTTATACTAAGGAGACTAAATGATATTTACACATGTGGGTTTGGTTCATTTCACTTATGAATATATCTTCAAGTGGCATCCACTGATATATAAAGACTTCGAGTTTATCATTCTTTATAGCTGAGTAGTACTTCATTATATAAAAATAGCACATCTTTTTCATCCATATCTCAGGTGATGGGCATCTTGGTTATTTCCAAGATTTGGCTATCACAAATTGTGCTGCTATAAACATTGGTACACATATATCACT